TATTTTGTTAATACACTCACACTCCCCCATTTAAACATGCAGGATTTGCTTGTAAACATAAATTAACTAAATGGAAGAAAAATTTTATTTTCGAAAAATAATAAACACACATTTCTTTTACCAGTAATAACTGTTTCACAATTTACTCCTGTATATCCAGGCATACATTTACAACTAAATTCGTTGGATCCAACTGATTGACATCTAAAAAATTTAATTTAGTATTTTGATTAATATTAACTAAATTTGTTCATTCATACGTTCCACCGTTTCGACAGATATTGGGCGTTGAAATACACATATTATTATCTATAGATATAAATCGAAGCATAAGTTTGATTTCTAAAGAATCACTTTTACTTATGATTTGTTCACATGTTGCACCTGTATATGATGACAAACAATGACAGTATGGTGCATTATTAATTTCCAAACAACTAAAACATTTTGACAAAATTAAATAATCAATCCAAGAAAAGAAAAATGAATGAGCTCTCACGTGCCACCATTTCTACATGGTGATGGAGAACAAACTATTGAAAAATATACAATAAGTAAAGAAAAAAAAACTATTTTCCTTGTTGCAGATTTTTACTATTATTTTGATATTGACATTGAGAACCATAATATGGATTTCTACAAGTACATTGATATGATAGATTGACTGCTGTACAAGTACCGCCATTTAAACATGGAGAACTGGTGCATGGATTCGATGTCTCTTTAATTAAAATAAATCAACAAGACAATAAGTAACATCACACTAAGTTTTGTTGAATTTCTTCGAAAATCTTTTGCAAACAAAAGAAATTCTCCAACTGATAAATCATTTTTCGGTTAAGACTATAAATATTATCTAGACACAAATGAGTAATGAATATCCTGAAAGCAGTTTAAATCTTTAGCTTATTGCTGTAGAGATATTGCACTTTAACAATATTTTTTAAATCCATGCGTTAATAACAAAAAATCGAATTTTAGATTTCGACTTGAAACTTTGCATTGAGACACGCCTAGTTTTTTTTTGTGAATATTTTTTTTTCTTAAAATACCATAAAATAGATCTACAACTATTTTCAATAAGATCTTTGTATATGCAAACGTTCAAATCGAAACTCGACAATCAATTTTTTTGCTACTACAGCATTTCCTTAAAAACCACCATTAAGGAACAGTATCTTCGTAGCAATAAGTTTAACGAACGAACTCTTTTCAGGATACTCATAGTTCATTTGCATCTAGAAAATTTCCTGTAGCCTACACTCAAAAACAATTTATTACTTAAGAAGACTTCTTTTGTAAGAACTTACCACATCTTGAACCTGAAAATCCGGCTGGACATTGACAATAGAAAACTGTATTATCATTCAATGCTAGACATGTTCCCCCGTTCAAACAAGGTGCTGATGCACAAATAGCTGAAAATAAAAAATAAAATAGATCATAGATTAATTGAAACTATAAACTATTTACATATTGGTTGAATGAATGTTTCACAATAAGTTCCGGTATATTGTGGAGTACATGAACAAGAATAAGCAGAATTTAAACCAGGAACACATGCACCACTATTTTGACAAGGTGAAGGGTGTGTGAGGCATCGATTTAAATCTATAAAATATTATTTTTAAAAGACCACAACATATGAGTTTTTAGCATACTTTCGCATCGTGTTCCATATGTAAAATCATTACAAGTACAAAAATATGAATTAGTGAATGGTGATATACTGCAAGTAGCACCGTTGAGACATGGATTTGATGAACATGATGATACTGCTGCTGGAGTTGCTATTTAGGAAAAAGAAACAAAACAGATTTGAAACAGTAATTAAAAGCTGATAGCTAACTTGGAAGTGTTGTTGTTATTGTAGTCACTTGATCACAATTTTTACCACCTACTGGAAGGTTTGGTGGACAATAACAAACGTAATCTGTATTGCCATTTATTTCCAGACATGTACCACCATATCGACAGGGATTTGACCAACAGACTAAAAAAAAATATAGATGAATTTGAATGAAATTATTCGTTCAATATTTACTGCTAGTTTGTCCATGAACTATTGTAAGCGTCCAGAAGACAGTAAAAATAAAAGAATAGAGCTCGTAATGCATTTGAAGATATTATCAAATGTGATTTCGAAAAAAACAACCCTTATATTTATATCAAAGCTTAATAAAAACTATATTAATAACAATGTATCACATCATGATATTCGAGAAAGACAGGCTTAGAGGGATATTCGAAAAATAAAAACGAATTCAATTATACAAATGCGTAAAAATCATGGAATTAAGAAAATTAAATTCAATTATATGATACGTCTATGCTACGTTTGAATCAAAGAATAGAAAATCAACAAAAGAAAAAATATATAAATAAACCTCTATAAGAAAGAAACACCGATTGGAGTCTTTATTTCATTGAATATCAATCATCAAACAAGTGAATCACAGTATCAATCAAATTAGTTTAGAATATTCCATAAACCAATGATATAACAAATCAATGGATACGTAAAATCAACATTGAAAATCATTTTCAAACATATTGATATGTTATGAGGCTGTCGTTGTGTATTCAGCTGAAGTACTAAAAAGTACATTTGATAAATATACTATTATTAAGACAAAGAATATATTTGATAATACTACAAAAAAAAAGCAATATTTTGTCTACAGCTCATCGAGCCGGACACGAGTAGGCCTCAAATCCGATGAACTCTTATTTAGTGTAATCGAGAATATTTCTTGTAATGATTTTTATCATTGAATTAATTCTCAAATGTTAAGAAACTATAATTATCTTTTTACAATTCACAAAAACAAAATAGTTTTCAAAAGAATCATCAAGTTTCATATTACATCAATAATTATTTTAAAAAATATCATTTCATTTTTTTTTTCTTGTTTTCTTATAGATCAAGTGTCGTTCGATATTATAAGCATGGATGTTAAATAAATAATGCATGACTTACACCAGCCTTCAACATTCTTTCATCATTGTCTAATCCATTTTCTTCTTCTTTTTTTCTCTTACTATGGCACTAGTATATTAAAGATGTCTATCTATTTGTGTGCACAATGGGTGTCGACACATCATCGGTAGAATGATCGATCGATGTATTGCTCATACTTGTATGTGTATTATTGACTTCAGTAATTATAGTCAGTATATAATCTCAAGAGGCGTACCATAAAACAAAAAAAAAGAAACCGAGAAGTCAAGTAATACATGACTTTTTTTTTTCACTTTCTCTTCTTCTTCGTCTTCTTCTATATATATAAGGTGGCAAATCAGTGCCGAACAAAAAATAGCTATTAAGCCGACAGGATATGAAAATTAAAATGAAGAAACATCAGAGAGAAAAAATAAAAACATTTTCAATTCCCTTACGAGTAGAAATACATGTCAATGCATATTTTAATCTGATCTAAAGTAAAAATCACATTAGTCATTTCATGAAGATGTACTAATGACTTATAAACTTTATCATAATTTGGTTCGTTAGTAATTGAAAGTCTAATAACAATCGATCATATTTTTATTTCGTTAAATCTTGACTATCTATTACTATCAATTTGTATTGAAACACATTTTCGGCTTGCTCAAAAGTAACAGATATGATTTCTCATGATATAAACGGCATGTACACCTGCCCATCCACAATGTAAGAATGATTTCGAACTGAAAAGAATCATCAACTACATCAACACATAATCGAACTTTTGATATAAAACAAAACAATATCTAACATATAAATTAGTAGTAATCGCCTACTAGAAAAAGTTGTGTCTCCTACACGATATGCACACGGTTTGAGTATCATCGAAATCAAGTTGTCGTGACTTGTAGATACCATCCAGAATAACAGTTAACATGTATAAGACTATCAACTATCGCATGAAACATTCATTGAACGATGCATTAAGATAATTCAGGTCAATTTTATTTTCAGTTTCTATAATCTTGTTTTCTTAATTATTTTAAGAAAAATTACAAACAATAATAATTAACTTATCTGTCAAATGATTTTCTAAATGATTAACAATATCACATAGAGAAAATATTTTTAATTCTAGAAAACGGAACGTCTAAAAATGAGAACACATTTAATCGATTAAGTTTTTATTTAAATACACAAAAGTAAATAGTGACAGAGCAAAGATTTTAAGATGAACTTCATCATTGAAAACTAACGTTAAATTAAGTTTACGACAAGTAAGATTTTTTTTCATGTAGGTATTTCTTTATCTTTTCATTGTACTATATTTGATTTTTACTCTGTACTAATTTTGCTTTATCAGCATAAGGACGACGTCCCTCGGAATAAATCGATTTTTTGACCCTTTCGAAAGATAAAAAATCTGCATACAATATTGCATAACGAAACGTAAGAATATTTAAGTAAATATTTTGTTTTTATTTTTTTTTTTCTTATGTTAATGAGTCTCATAGAAATGTTCAACTCTAAAAGAAGAAAAGAATCTCATTCGTCGTTAGTCGAAATTATTTTTGATCAATGAGAATTTTTCTCTTTCTATATTACATAGATTATGTATGTTGACCAACAAGAAAAAGCAGAAGAAGACAAAAAAAAAAAAAAACAAAAAAAAAGAGATTTATGAACGAGTCACAATTTCTTCAAGATTGATGATTTCATCAAATTAAAAACGACAATCAATACTATTCTAAAAAAAAAAGAAAAAGAATACATCAATCTCCATCATAATCTATCATGATGAATCAATACCATCATTCTCAAACATATACAAATTTTCCATCTCATCATCATCATCATTTTCATCCTAATAATATTACAACTATTTCTCAAACACCAACAATAACATCAACAAATTATAATTTACTTGATGAAAATTATTTTTATACATCATTTTCATCACCAAAACATTATCAACCAATATTTTATGATTCAGAAAATTCTTATGAACAATATTCAATTGATAATTCAACAACAATTGAATCAATTTATCATCCAAATCAATCATATGATCAATGTCATAATTATTCAAATAATTTACAATTAAATCAACAATCTTATGAAGATTTTTCATTATCAAATAATCAAACACAAATTATTGAACAGTCATCAATTGAACAACAACCAATTGTTGTTACCGAAGCTAAATATAAATGGATGCAAATTAAACGTACACCAGCTAAAACATCAGGTAATTAATATGAGTACGCGTCCGAAAATTTATTCCATCAGATAGAAAACACAAGAAAAATGATGAGAAAACATGTACAAGTGTCCAATAAATAGACGATGAAGAATTTTTTTTTTGTTTTGTAGAAAATTCATCAGTTATTTTATCTACAAATCATCGAACAACTTGTCACGATAGATGATTGATGTTATACGAATACCGCTGAGAAATTCTAAATCGATCGTCATGATAACCCATCTGGAATTATAACTGTACAATAAGAGATATATGAGTTATTTTTTTAAAATGAATTTTAATTTTTGTTAATCAGAAAATCTTTCTTGATTTTGTTTTGAAAATTCTAGTAAAATTTCGATATTTTGAGAATGAAAAATCAAAGCATTTTAGACTTTTCTATTCCTTATCAAATAAACATCGTCTTGGTCCAAAAAAAAAAAAGTGATTTGACATGTTGAGAAGTTTCCTCATAAGTTTTTCGAATGAAACCGATTATTATTAATAGCATATATATTTTCAATATCTACTATAAATTACAAAATTATATGTTTGGGGAGATATTTCTTTTTTTGGAAGCATGTATAGGCGTAACCCATTCAAATCTTGAAGATTATTTGTTTTTTTTTCAGCAGAGTTTCAATGCTTGCATCGAGTACTGACGTGGGAACTTCTCCTAATGATCGATCGATTTTTGGACCAAGATGATATTCATTTGATGAGTACTAATAAATAATAGAAAAATCTTGAATAGTTGTGTTGCTGAAGTTTTTTATTGTTGAAATGGATATTTTTTACAAAAAACTGTGATCACTTAAAAATTTGACCTTCGAGTTTTGACTTCAAACTTTTTGCCCAAACAAAATTTTTACGTTATTGAGATTAGTTGATTATGCAATTAGTATGTTCTTTGTGAAGGAATCAATATGTAAGCAGAATTTACTTTCAAACATGATAAAATTTCGAATATTTAATATCTCAAGATAGAAGACACTAAAGACCTATGGGTAAAGATAATTCATCAAAGGTATAAGCAAAAAAAAAAAAGGAAATATCTATCATCACTTCACTTGTTACTTAATGTTTTCTTTTATTGAAAATTTTCATGATGATGCAATAGATGATCATACATACTCATACACATATGTTTATTTGAAGGTAAACCGACAGATTGTATCTATGGTTCATCAACAGATTGTTTAACGAATAATTCAGCAAATACTGGCCGAACAAGTTATTCAAATAAACAATTGACTGTATGAATAAAAACTTTTTCTGTTTTTTTTTGTATATGAAAATTTATTTTAATTTAGGAACTTGAAAAAGAATTTCATTTCAGTCGTTATTTAACACGAGCAAGACGTATTGAAATAGCTACATTATTACAATTAAATGAAAATCAAGTAAAGGTAAAATTAAGTTTGTTTTTTATTATTTAACACACATAAAAGTTTATGTTTAATATATATATAGATTTGGTTTCAAAATCGTCGTATGAAAGATAAAAAAAGAAAACACGGAAGTATGTGATTTAAACATCAAGTTCTCATAAAATTTCTTTTTAATATTATAGCCGATAATCTGGCGTATGATTCAATGTGAAGTATTTATGTTACATAGACAGTATTTTATTCGATCGGTGTTGTTATAATTGTTTTTTTTTCCCCTTTTGCATTGATTGTATTTAAAAAAAAAAGAAAGAAGTCATTTAATTTCAAATCGTTTCATATCGATTTTTATTCAATTTTCTTTCGTGTCATAGATTATCGAATTGTTTAAATGCCTTAAGGATAGATCAACAAAATTTAGTCGATCACTCAATTTTTTTTATTTGACACGTTAAAGATGAGATTCAATACGGATATATTTTCATTTGTCTAAAGCGTGAAAATTTACTCCTGTGAAAATATTAAATCAAACCGGAAGTT